AAAATAAAAAACAAAAAATGTCTTGATTTTAAAAAAAAAATTACCATATTCTCATCAAAATTTAATCTACATATAATTATATTATTGAAAATATTTATCGAAATAAATAGTTTTTATGAGAAAAATTGAATGGTATTTTAAATACATAAAAGTATTAATCATTATGGTATTGTTTAAGAATCCATTACATTAATTATAAAATAATCTTATATACCATTATGTAAAAATATGCATTTTAAATTTTCTTAATTTTTAAACATTTTTGTCCCATTCAATTTTATTTTATTGTTATTTTTACAAAACAAAAATATTGTTATACAAAAAAATAATAATAAGAGTTTTTAGTTAAATCAAAACAAAATTTATTAATTTTTAATATTCTTAAAATATTTATTAAAACCTTATTATTGAATTTCTCAATAATTAATTTCATTCATTACCGTTTTTATTATTTTCATTATTAACTAATTATTTTTTATTTTAAATTATTCCACTAAATTATTAAATTATCAGTTTTTTTTATTCTCTAATTAATTTTAAAACTTCAAAATTAAATTCTACCCGAAAAACATCCTTTAAAAATACACTAAATTAATACTGAAAAAGACCTAGAACAAAATTTTTTGCTATTTTGTAATTGCAAATATCATATTCGTTCATTACATATTATATACATAAATATAAATAAAAATTTTCATTCAACAATTCAAATTTTATATTCATAAAATGAAATTTTGCATAATATAAAAATCATCACCTTTGAAAAAAAAAAAACCATACACATATTAATAAATAGCACATTTTCCATCATTACCTACAAGAAAAAAACTTAAAATAAGAACAAAAACAAAAATTAAATATGATCGTAAAATTTCCTTTATCTTGCAAGAGAAGAAAAACAAAACAATACAAGAAAGGAATATTTAATTTTATAAAATAAATTATAATAAATAAAAATAATTACAAAATAAATAAAGTTAAAATTAAAAATTTTATATTTTACAATGAAAAAAATTATTGATTGTTTTGTTTTTTGAAAACCGCAGAGAAAGTATTTGATAAGATTTCAAGACCGGAAAGAGAAAATAAAAATAAATGTTTTTTTTTTTTGTTCAAATACGTCCATAGTTTTAAAATATTTGTAAAAAAAAAAATTAAAATTATAAAAAATTTATCTTTAATAATATTATAATATACACTACATACATATAATATAATAATAACACAAAAATAATATTTAATAATATATATACGTATATTGTGCATATACTTTAATATTCATGTATAAAATATAATAATTATATCCGTTATATTAAGTATAAAATAATTGTGAATGAATTCTTCAAAAACAAAAAAAAAATATATTTTAGACTGAAGTAAAAAGAAATAATTATTCTTTTATAAAATTAATTATATAACTAAATATTTTAAACAAGCAATCTAATAAATGCGTCCATGAATTCAAAATTAAAATACATACATACAAAAAAAAATTTTCATTCAAATTTTTTCAAAAAAATTTTATTTTATTTGTAATGCGAAAATTGTTTATTATACAATTCGGCGTAGAAGAGGTAAGTGGACAAAGGGGTTAACTAACATTTTGACGAAAATCGAGCTTTTCGGATCGAGAACATTATTAAATTTCATATATGTATATTCAACTGTGACTAGTCTAATAGCTAGAAACATAATAGAAGACGAGATTGACAGTTTAAATCTTATTGACAGTTACTTATCTCCTATTGTGAACACATAGGAGATAAGTAACAAAAAAATTAATAATTTTATAATTTGCTAATGAAAAAAAAGGGTCAGAATGCAAATGTAAGTTAACCTCTTTATCCACATACCGCTACAATTAATATAATTTTTAATTAATATGATTTTTCGTTTTTTTTTTATTTTTTTTTTTTTTAATGCTTCAGTATTATTATTTAGGTTAGTATTTTTTAATTTAAAACAGTCTTCATTATTATTTAATTTAGTAATTCTTAATTAAAATCATTTGATTTCTAATATTTATACGAGAAATCTCCACTATGAACTCTAAAAGAGTACAAAAATTGCAGTATTTTTTAAAAGTTATAATAAATTTAAAATGATAACATTTACCCATACATACAACCCTACTCATACAATATTCAAATAATCACAAAAACACACAATAATATAAAAACTTTATGTTAAATTTATTTTACATTTAATCAATAAATAAAATATAAATTTTTAAATAAATAATATAATTTAATTATTATTTACATATTATATTAATTATATAATAATAAAAGTAATAATAATAATAAAAATTAATAATTAATTAAATTATTTTAAATAAAAATATATAAATGTATATAAATAATATTATACACAAAAAAAAATAAAAATAAATATAAAAAATAGCACTGTTTTGTTAACAAAAAAAAATCTTAATTAATTTAAAAGAAAAATAAAATAACAAGAAGTAATCGAAAATTTTAAAATTTCACAGAAAAACAGGCAAAAATCATAACACATTATAATACAAACAAAATCACAAATCTCGTGTTTAAATAAAAATACAAACAATTATTTCTAAAATCATTATAAATTTACTTTACATGTAAATTATTTAAAATAATAATAATAAAATAATAATAATAATATTACATTATTATGAATTAGTAATAACAAAAGAAAATTAAATAAATAAATATTATAATACAAATTAATTTTTGGTTTTTCATCCATCATTACAATTTTTTATTTATTAATTTAATAATTTTAAATAATTAAATATAAAAGAATTTTGTAGATAACAAAAAAAAAAAATGAATAAACAAAAATGTAATGGCTTACACAATATTAATTGTCCCTTTATATTACACAAATATATAAATATATGATGATTTTCGAACCATAATCTCTTTAAAATTTTTAAAAGATTAATTTTACAATATTTTTATATTTTTATTTAAAATCATCCAACTACATTTGTTTGGAATATTTTCTTGTATTTTTTTTTTTAATGTTCTAATACCTTTTGGCAATAAAAATAGAGTGAAAATTGAATGACTAAATTTAAATTGTAACTACCATAATATTATTATAATTATAATCTTGTTTTTAATCCCTTATTAGTAATTACAAAATAAAAATAAAAGCAAAAAAAAAACATAATTATTACTATATTATCATTATTATTAATACTATTATGTATAACAGAAGCAAAAAAAAAAATAAACAAAAAAATGCAAAAAAAAAAAATTACAAATAGAAATGATGAAACAAATAAAAATATTATTAAAATTATACAAAAAAAAAAAAAATCTAAAAACAAACATAAAAATACTTGTAAATTTTTTGATGTCTTAATAAAAGAAATTACAATTAAACATATATTATTAATGTTTTATTCAAAAAAATATAAAAAAATATGACTTGACCATTGGTGCAGTGATTATGACACCGAAGGGTGTCAGGTTCAAACCCCGGTCAGATCACTATAAAAATTATATTCAATATTATACAAGTAATTTTTAAATATTCCTAATATTCGATATTAAAAACTAAGAAAAATGAACAGTAAATCTTAATAAACTTAAATATTTAATATAAATAAAACTACGGCAGAGGCTAGTCACCTACCTAGTTAACTCTATGACGCTATGAAACTAGAGCATAATATTATGCACTAGCCCTATGCTCCTTTTCCTAGGAGTGAAGAAGGAAAAAAAAAATTAAAATAAAAGCATAATATTATAGACCTAACATTTAAAGAAATGATAAATTTCCAAAAAAAATTAACTTAAGATCAATTTATGTCCAAAACAAAATGGAATTGATATATTTCTTCTTCCCTTTCATAATATTTGATATCATAACTGGTTGTCTTAAAATCTCACTTTTCATAAACTTGAAAACAGCTAGTTTTTATAACTAAAAAAGATCATTATAGTTTCCAAGACCCTTCTTAATTTCAACCGTTATTCATTACTCATAGTTAAATATTACAAATCTATTTATTTTTTTACTGGAAATGAAAACCGCAAATTCAGAGCTGCATTTCTATAAAAAATAAAAACATTATGAATTAGCTAACCAAATTCACTCCAAAACTATCATATTTCTCAAGCAATATATTAGGTGCGCAACTAAGTTCTCGCTGTTTGTCAATAGATGGCTTCAGCAGTAGGTGTTGGTCGATTTTGACACATAAGTGATTTCATTGTGGCGTCATAGAATTCTCGTTGTGTGAAAATGTCTGATTTTGCGCCAAATAATCGTCATTTGCGGGAAGTGCTACTTTTTTTATTTAATTCGAAAAAAACGGCGGCTGAAGCGCATCGAGAGTTGAAAAAAGTTTACGAGAATGCTGCTCTGAGTGAAACAACGTGCCGCGATTGGTTCCGTCGCTTTAAAGATGGTAATTTCGATATTGATGACTGTCCGCGTGAAGGAAGGCCAAAAACATTCGACGACACTGAATTGGTGAAATTGCTCGATGAGGATCCATGCCAAACACAAGAACAGCTTGCTTCGGTATTAGGAGTTACCCGCCAAGCCATTTCTAAGCGATTGCATGCGTTGGGAATGATTCAAAAGAAAGGAACTTGGGTTCCTTATGATTTGAAGCCAAGAGACGTTGAAAAGGCACGAAAAAGTGATTCTACTGCATGACAACGGTCGGCCTCATGTTGCCAAAACCGTCAAAACCTACTTAGAACACCTACTTTAAAACAGCGACAACTTAGTTGCGCACCTAATAGAAAACCGGGTTAATATTTTATACTTTCTCAGAAAGACTAATCTTGTGACCTCATAACCAGAGGTGAACAAAAATTTAAATATGTACCTATGTTATTTACCACCCTGCCTCAGAAATATCATCGTAACTTGTACAAGCACAATATGTTTGTAAACTTTTACAATTCATTCTCCTTTTTTCATTTTATATATTTCTAAAATATTTTATTAGAGAAATCCTTATATTTTAGAAAACTTTTCTTAAAAAACGTTCACACTATTAATAATTGTATATTTAATTTAAAAAATTAAGTGTAATATTTAATAAATATACATAGTACAAAATAAAATACAAGGTTGTTTTTAAAGTGATTTTTTAACAGGTGGTAACATCATATCAGTTAACTCTGATGGAGTTTTAAAATATTCTGTTAATAAAATTACATTTTTATTTTTCAATTGATACATAGATTCTGACCAAGGATTCAATGAATTTGGTTTGCTTTCAGACGCTTCGCCTTTATTGAAATGAAGTTTTGGATTTTGAAATGGTTGTTGACCTTGAAATACAGCAACATATCTAAAATATTATTTAATAGTTATTGTTAAATTCTTTATTTAATAATGTAATAATATAACGTACGTATCGCCTTTCCTGTAAATTCTTAATGGGTATTTACTTATAAAAACTCTTAAAATTATAGTTATTAATATAAAACCGGCTGCAAAAATTATTAAATCCGAATCTCCTATCATTAAATCACCAAGCTGTTCTTCTTTTGATATATTAGTCATTTTCTCTCCTAATATATATTTGTAACCTGCTAAAATTGAAATAAGGGTGGCTGTTATAGTAGTGACATTCTTTGATATTACTAAATAGTTTTCCATGGGAGCACGATAAATTATAGTATAATCTTGCGACATTTTGTCTCTTTTCATATAAAGTTGTTCATTCATCCTTTGCGGTTTGATTCCCGGTATATAAGAACGAACATTATTAATTCTATAATGTAAATATAATTTGTTTTGTTAATATTTATGTCACATTATATAAAATTAAAAACATTTTTCAATGTTTTTAACATATTTAAATATTACAAACCTCAAAGCAATTCGTCGAATGCTGGTTGAATTTAAAGTATTTATTATTTTCAGAAACATATTAAAATTACACAGCAAAATAATATATTTTACTTGGTACCGGACCAGTTTCAAAATAAAATGCACCTGTATTAATTTTGTTTTCATTGAAGATTGTCAAGAATTTGACAATCCATAAATATAAATAAAATCACATGTAAAACTCAGTCATATCAGGTTGTAAGATTTTCCCTCATTGTCGGAATTCTCCATTTTTACGAATGGGAAATTATTTGACTATTTCTGGCAAATATTGTTATTTGATATAAATTTCAGTTAAATATCAGATCATTAACTAAAAATAACACAAATATTAAGTAAATTGAAATACTTTACAATGGTAAAGAATGCGAAAATTTAATGCTCAAAAATGATTGAAATTTACTGCTAATAAATAATAATAAATTAAAATAGTCACAATTCCAAAGATTAATCAAATAATTCTTCACATTTTCGTATTTATTTTTAATTTACTCAAAGAGTCAACTTATTAGTTTTTGCTTAAAAGAATAATGATTTTATTGAGTTTGCTAATGCAATTTTTATTTTGTAAACAAAAAAAAGTTACTGTGCAGAAGAATAAACAGTTAAAAGGCAAGAATGAGAAAACTTAAATATTTCTAGAATTTGTCGAACAACAACCTAATCAAAAAATCACTTTTAGATCTCGAATAAATCAAATGTTTATGTAATGAAATATTAAACAAAGGGGCATACCTACTAAGTGCTAATTCCTTACTTTTACAAAAAACGGAAAAATGAACTGTCAAAATATAATATTGTATGACGGTCACATTTTGAACTTTCATAATTGGTATTCAATTATTTGTACATTATTTTTCACAATAATTTTAAAAGCAAACAATAAGAGAGTGGATAGACAATTATAAAAGAGATAAATAATTCATATTAAAGTTAAAATCTCATCTAGAGTGCATTAGATTCAGATTTTCAATTTTATTTTGTGTAATAAAATTACATAGCAACCAAAAGTTAATTTCAGTGAAAAAAAAATTTTCTGGCCTAACACTATATTTAAATCTCAAATTCAATTTTTCTGGTAACACTGTTTAAATTTCGAAATTCTGAAAAACAAAAGTGACATTTAAATTTGTTTATAAAAAAAACACGTGAATGTTTTGTTTATGATTTAAGTAAAAATAAATGAAATTGTTAGTCAAAAAAAAATTTAAAATATTAATTAAATCATGGCTCAAAAACGGAAACTTGAAGAATATCATGATCCGGATTACCCGCAAAATAACATTAAAATCCCAAAACTTTCAAGAGAAAATAATGAAAAAGACACCAATAAACAACAAAAAATTTCTGACATCGTTTCAAATGAATTTGAGAAAGAAATAAATAACAAAGAGCAAGAGATTTATGAAATTAATCATAGAATATTTTTAGTAAGAAAAATGTTGCATAAAGTTTGCTTTGCTGTTATATCTAATTATTATAACAAAAGAAATTTAAATCTTGCACCAGATGAAGTGGTCAAAGCACAAGAAAGTATATCTAGACTTTTTAATGATGACAAAAAAGGTCTACAAAATGCCATTCATCCTTCTTTGAAAAAAATTTTAGGATCCAATGACGTTAATTACAGAGAGCTGTTGAATAGCAGACCAACACGACAAGCTGCTAAAACAGCTCAATCTACTATTAAAGAAAAATTTAAAACCAAAAAAGAATTAAGAATTGAACGACTAAGAACAAAGGCATTAGAGTCTATTCAAGAAAACGCAACAGTTGATGAAAGTTCAAATACAACTACAATCGTTAGAGAAAATTTAGAATCTTTGAATGTAAATCAATGTAATATAGCAAAAGAAAATCCAGTATCTTTACAAAAACCATTGGATAAAGTACAAAAATTAAATACAGATAGAGGAGTTAATCTCTCTAAGCAAATAATAGCTGTTGGTAACACATCAAAATTTATTCATAAAGATGATTTACATGACAAGATAACTCATAAGTGGTTGATATATGTTCAGTCAAAAACTCATGTTCCTATAGAAAAATTTGTAAAAAAAGTTAGATTTTATTTACATCCTTCTTATAAACCAAATGTTGTTGATGTTGAGTAAGTAACTACCTACACAATTCTTAAATTTAACTATGTACAAATAAGTGTTAATATATTTAAATACTCTCCAGATCTCCTCCATTTCAATTAACACGGAGAGGATGGGGTGAATTTCCTGTTAGAATTCAATTATATTTTTATTCTAAATTTCAACAGAAACCAGTTCAATTCTATCATAACTTGGTTTTAGACAAAACTCTAACGGGCTTGCAAACAATGGGTTAGTTGAATATTATTAATAAATCACAAATATAAAAAAATAATAAATTTTAGGTTCTGAAACATTGGTGGAGGTTTGGCTTAGGTCAGTTTTATTTTCTCCTGAAAAACTAGAATTATCGGAAAATATCTCAGATAATTTTCAAAATTACACAAGTTATATAAACGAAAATAACTTGAAAATTAAAGAGGAAAATTTTTCCTCCGACACAAAAAAAAATTCTTCGATCTCGCCACTAATTGAATACAAAGATAATATAATAGATTTCTTAAACGATATAGATCCTTCTATATCAACGGATCCGGATAACATAGAACCAACATTAATACTTTCACCTTCAACACATACAAAATTAAAAATATCAGAAGCAATTAGTTCTCCAAATACTCAAATCCAAGGTATGCATCATATGTATCCCAGCTTTCATCCTAATATAAAAAGAGAAAACTCTGTGAATACACCGGATAAAGAAAATTTAGTTTTTGAGAACGGTAATAGAAATAAAATTATTGATTTTGGTGATATTCCATTAAATATCAAGCAAATTAATGACAAATTAAAAGAAACAATAAATGATGGAGTAAATATGTTACCCATAAAAAAAGAGATCGTACAAAGTAATATGCAGGACCAAACTTTGGGTATAGAAGTAAAACATAAAGTTGAAGAGAATGATAATTTTGCTAACCAAAAAAGTCATGTAATAGTAAGAGATGGTAAAGTAACCATAATAGATCCGCATCAAAATAAATTAAAAAAACGAAAACAAATAAGTCTTTTAAAACCTGTGATAAAACAAAATACATCAAATTTCAATTCAATCAACTTGCAAAAAGATAAAAATTCATCCCTTGTTGATCATGATTATACATCACCCTGGAAAGACGAAATTGTTTCAAATCACCAACCTACAGAAAATAGAATAGTAGAAGCGAATAAATGTAGTGCATTTGATAATATAAAGGAACAGTTAGAGGACTCATCGTTAAGTGGTGATTTTATATCAGTAGTGATATCAGACGATACAAAACAACTAATAAATTTAAAGAAAAAGATTACTTTAACGGTTAAAGATAAACCATATTCAAATGAAAAGCCTTTCATTGATTACCGTGGTCAATTTGAATTAAAACTACATTCAACAACATTTGCATCTGAAGAAAACTTAATTGAGTATTGTTTAAAAAATGTGCCATTAATAGATGATAAAGCCAATGACGAACATTATAAAATGGCATTCCCTTTTGTTATAGAAAATGCCACTACATTTAGAACTCTTCTTTTACCAAAAAGAAAAGCTTTAGAGGTAAGTATAGGATATAGTTTACAATTATTACTTAAGAGTTAAAAAATGAAAATTATTTACTTATTTTTTGGTTTTAGTGGCTTCAATGCAAATATTTCTCCACATTGATGAAAAACCACGATCAATTTCCAGAAACTTCCTGGTCTACTAAAGAAATTATACTGTACGCCCGCTCCTACGGTTTCACATTACCACAAAATGTATGTGCTGTATCAAGTACACAAAGTAAAGTTTTTAAAAATATCATTTCAAACGATGAAGAATCCGATGAAATTCAAAGTTCATCAGAATCACTAGAACAAATTTATAAATGGATAAATGAATATAGTAAAAATTTAGAGAACTCTCGCAATGCAGAAAAAATTAATATAGATGATGAAAGTGATACACAAAATAATGAATTACAAACAAAAAAGCATTTATCTCCAATAAAATATGAACAACATTCCATGATAACACCCATTGAAGAAAATTTTGAAAAAGATTCTAAATTAATCAAGGAAATTTGTCGTGGCATAAATATAGACTTTAAACCTGAATTAATTTCTCAAGGTATTACAAATATTTAATATTATTTTCGTATTTTGTGTTTTGACTAACAATTTGTTTTTCTTAAATATTTAGATATCCATTTTCATGCTGCAGAATTAATGATAATAAAAATATTTCGAAAATTTTTAGAGAATTTAATACGAAAATCACTTTTTGAAGGTCAAAATTTAAGTGAAACTCAATGGTAAATAATTTTATAGGTATTTGAAAATATTTAAATAAAATTTGTCATTCTTATTTAGCATTCCTGTTATTGAAGTAGAACACGTAAAAAATGCTTTACTTTTGAATCCAGAATATAAATTTCTAACAAGCAAGATGCATAAAAGTATAGGTGAAATAAAAAATGAAACAACTTAATAGTGATAACATTTTTACTGTAATTAGAACATTAAATATTTATTTATTTAATTTTTTTTTTAATTTTTTTTAAATTATTTTGGTCTGTTTTAAACCGCTTTTCTTTAAATGAAAATTAAATCCCAATTTCAAATGGTTTGAATGGTACTTTCATTTTGGAAAAAGTAGAATTCAAAACAGTCCGGATTGTATTACAATTGTATTATATTACGTAAATCATATGTATAAAAATTGTAATAAAAAAAACTTATAATATTATACATATATTAAAACATTAAACGAATTTCTGATTAAATTAGGAATTAGAGTTTAAATAAATTTTTAAAAATACTGAAATTGCTACATTGCATGTACTCACTCAAAATTCAAAAGATAAGAAAAAAAAATATGATGAAATTGTCAAAGATTCATAAAAATATTAAAATACTAAAAAGACTGAAATCACGTAAATGTCCATACAATTCATTTTAATCCGTGTAATTAATGAATTCTTCTAATTTCATTTTGTTTCCCCATCCTATAGGAATTTCAAAGTTAATTATTAACCGATCCAGCCAAATTATTAAAGGTTGATAATATTCAAGTAATGGGTCTGCACTAAGTTCTGAATTTCCTGTTAATATATATAAAACTTCAGACCAATGAACTGATGATCCTAATTTCATAGCTTTTCTAAAAATACAAATAGATTAAATTTGTAATATTTGTTTGTCGCATTAATTTATTTAAATTTTATCAAAATAAAAACTGGCCATACAAAACAAAAAGCTACAATATGCCCAAAGAAACAAAAACAAACTGTTTTTATTAGTTGACAAAGTTGAAAACTTAATAATTGTAGTGCTGACTTAATAATCTCATTGTAAACTTTGAAGTCTATGAAACGAAGAAAAAATATTCAAGATCAAAATGAAGCTTTTTTAATGTGTCGCTACCACATTGGCACAAATGAAAATTTTATGAGCGTGAAATTAATTTATCTAAAGATTAAATTTTTTTCATCTTTCGTTAAAGTTTTGTTCTAACTTAAAAAAGTTAGAACAAAAAGCTTTTTAGCAACTTTTAATCCCAATGACCCGAAAAAAGGCACGTATAAAAAAACACTTCTTTCTTTTTTGTTTCTCTGGATCTATTCTATCAATTTACTCTTTCAAACACTCCGCATAATTACTTTAAAATTCGCCCAGCTCTTCTCGAACCATAAATATCACAACGATGTAAGGGCATTGGAAGTTTTTGACCTGATTGAAATTTTCCAAAAACCGTGTATTCACACAAACCTTTGAAGATTTGAACTTGTAGTATACTGGCTAAAAAATATCTATTAAAATATTACAAAAAATAAATTAATAGTGTTTCAAAAATTAATTACAAAAAAAAAATTTAATTTACCTTACATATGGTGTATTATCAGCAAAATGAAATTTAGCAGCGGCATCAAACAAATTATGTCTTTTATTCCAGTAAGGTGGGTGTATACCCTGTTCTTTAAAAATAAATTCCCAAAATTTATCATTGGCATTTGCATCATTTATATCACCACTAAATAGATCCCATCTATATAAATCTAAAATATATTCAAATGGAATTTGAGGAATTTTCATTAACGCCAATTTCAATAACAAGGCTATGTCGAATCGGTTCACATTTATTAGTGCTGTTCGTTCTTTCATATTTGCAAAATTATTAAATTTTTCAAGTAAAATTCTGTAATTGAGTGTTGAATGATCGTGTGCGGTAAGCCAATTAGTATGCAGTTGTTTAGTTGAATTACTAACAGTTCTATTTTTTAACAGGCTTTTTATTTCATTATTACTTGGAGATTGAAAAAAATTTTTATTCGGTTTCGTTTCATGAACAACTTTCAATTCATTAAATGAAATCGCTGACAATCCTTTTGGTGCAAGATAATTATCAGGAATTAATCGGAGACGATTTAAATTTTGAGGTGTCATCATTGCTAAGAACATTGAATCTCCTATAGCTTCACCAACTGCTGAATTTACAGCATCCTGAAATAGCGGCGGTTGATATTTTAAATGCATATAATATTGAATATGTCCCATTTCATGGATTATTTCATAAAAACCGTAAATAGAACGATTAACGCATATAACCATTCTATAATCATCATCTTTGAACATATTTCCAGCACTTCCATGACATTTTGTCCTGTTTGAAGTTTTCTCAAAAATAGAATTATTCCAAAAAGTTTTTGTTACTGGATTTAAACCCAAAGATCGATAAAAGTCATCAGCCCGTTTAACCTATAAACATAGAAAGATGATTCCAAATAATATTGCTTTATGTAAAATAAATCTACCATATCTAACGTAGTCCAGTTTGTTTTACTTATTTGATCTTCAAGTCTTAATTCTTCAAATGGTAACAAAAGTTTTTCATATGATGACCAATCTGATGACCACATATTACCTAAAATATGTGCTGGTATAGGTCCAGTTCTAGTCAAGATATTCATATTTTCAAAAAAATATTTTTTCCAAAGAGCATTTCTTAAAACACCATGTAAATTTATATAAAAAGGTTTAATTTTGAGCCAAAGTTTTTTAATTACATCCCGTATATTATCAATTTCTAGTTCTTCTCTCCATGTTTCTCCGATATTATTATAACCTTAAATTAAAAATAAATTTGAAAATCAAAAATTTTTTATGTACATATGTATTTAATTATCAAAAATATCTGACCATTTTTTTGTGCTCCATAATTCATAATTTTTATAGCTTGTGGATAATATTTTTTAATTTTAGGACCAACAGCCAATCTCCAAGCTTCCCACGTCCAACGAAATATCAATTCAGCAGGAAGAGCACAATCTTCTCTATTGAACTTTTGGAAATTACCCTGCATTATTTCTTCTAAATCTGATTCAATATTGAAACATATTCTAGATGAATTCCTTATTTGATTTTCAATTTCTGATTCTTCTCGTAATTGATTTTTATTAGTTTTTCCACGATAAACGTAGTAATCGTTACATATATTTCCATTATAAAAATGTAAATGATTGCTGTCCAAACAGCTAAACAAATTTGACCATTAAAAAAAAAAATCATATACAATTTATTTTTTATATATACTTTAATTACCATTCTGATCTGTAAACAGAAAAATTTAATTTTGAAACATCTCCATTTTCATCTGTTACATATGTATAATCCCAAATTCGATGATAATTTAAGCATAAATCAAAAGTTTTTGGTAAACATATTTCCGTTTCTGTATAAATTGCTTGAATTTTATCTAAGATTATAGATAACTCGCTATATCCAAAATATATACATATAATTTTTAAATGAAATTTTTATATGTTTTAAATAAAATCAATATATTGCCTACATTACTTCATCGTTATTATATTTTGGTCCTCTACACAACATCCATACCATACGTCTTTGATTATCAGTTAAATCATCTAATATATCTTCAGATTCATCACATCTTTGATTTTTCCAATGTAATCGAATTTTTCCCAATTCTGTTGCTTCATTTTGTAAATCTTTATTACCGTTAACACCTATTTCCCATGTATAAACAGCAGCATAATGACTTAAAGTATAATATTGTTCATTAACTTTTATTAACCAATCTTCAACGGATTTAGTTGCTATTCTATCATTATAACCTATACATGTTTAATTTATAATAAAAAATTGAAAATATGTGATTAAAATTAAGTCCATAAAATGTTAAATATACAAAAATATATTTGGATTATAAATAAAATGATAATATGAAAAATTATTTTTTAGATATCGTTGATAAGAATAATACAGTGTTTTCAAAATGGTGTATCACATAAATTAGTTGCAAATTTATTTAATTTTAACTTTAGATTCCATTTATATTATTTAATTTTTGTACAACCAGTTCTGGAGATTAAGCTATTCCTTGAACTAAATATTTACATTACGTTCACATTATCATTAAAAATTTTGACGTTTAAATGACTTAGGATTGAAGAGAATGATTATTTCAATTCAATAATTAAATTGAAATTATTATAGGTTATGTTTATGGTGTAGTGACCAATAATATTATGGTAAAAAAGTTCGTAAAAATTTGTCCAATATTCGTATTTCTTTTTTCAAACATAATAATTCAAAAATACTTAGTATTTCTCAAAATATATTTAACTACACAATAATTAATTGTTGAATTTTTTTGTAAAAATAATTTTTGTAAAATTTTTAAATTTTCTGCAGTGTACACGTTCAAGCTACATTATGAAACTTAAATTCATTGTAGTCATAGCTGGTCATAAATGTAATTACAATGAAAAAATAATAAAAAAAACTTAAATCAATTAAATTATAAATACCCTAGGTCATTCATTCAAGTTTAATTTTTTTTTAATTATCTTTTAAAATATTTCAAATTCACGCACTTTTATGAAATTATTCACTTCAATTCATAAAAGAATTTTATACAATACAATATAAAAAAAATAAATAATCGCTGAATGTTGAAAAAAATTTTTCTTCCTCACATTAAATTGATAAGGAATATAAATATTACACTATGTTTGATAACAAAAAAAAAGAACAAAACCAAAAAATCAAAAATAAATGAACATAAAAAATGTTTTTTTTTTGTTTTCTTAATTTTCAATTTTTAGTTTGCTTCCAATTTTACATGAGAAATTTCATATGAGAGATTGTTATAAAAAATTTTTAATTAAAAATTAAAGAAAATCCTTAAATTATGAATTATAAAATTTTAAATATTTTTATAATTTCAATTCTTTTTATGATTATTGTAAATGGAAATGAAAATAATAAAATTCCAGCAATAAAAATTCAATTAACAAAAGATGATCCAGAATTATGTAAAAATGTTGCAAGATTTTCACCACATTTTCCAACATGTCATCAATATTGTATGAATCAAACGGATAATCATTATTTTTTGGGTGCATGCCGTGGTATTAAACAGTGTCTTTGTTATAAATTTGGTTAATATATTTAAACTTACAAATTATCATAAATAATTTTTAAGTATTTTTTTTAATAATATTATGTGCATATACTTATGTAAATTTTTATATATTCAAATACAATTTTATATACATAAATTGAAAAAAAAATGAAATTTATGATTTATTTGCTTCCGGTTTATAGAATAATTTTTGTTATACTTATAATTTAAAAGGCAGTAATTTTAAAATCTTATTGTTATTATTGTGTTATACCAGACATATTTTATGAAATATAATTGATGTGTTAAAGATCTACATCATTATATTGTTCATTTCTATTCACTTAATTATTGTTATTTTAGTATGTAATTAAAAAATTTACTTTATAGACAAATTTTAAAGTTTTTGCTATATGATATCTAAATAGGTTTTCAATTAATGAGTGTAGGATAATTATATATGTATTTTTATATTATGTAATTTAATAAAATTATTTCTACTTGATTTTGAACAAAAAAAAAATATTAGTAATTACACAAAATAAGAATGGATTTAGAGACTTTATTAAATATAATGTGCCAACTCTCAATATTTGCAAAATTAATATTTTCATTGAATTTCTCTTAAAATGATTTCTATTTTTTTAATTCATCTAATTCATCCAATGCAAGATTACATCATTTATTTTTTTGATAAAAAGAATTTTCATAATTTTAATTACTTATATTTCCTTTTCTTATTATATAATAATATGCAAAGAAACTATTTAGGACGAACAAAAATTGATAAAACTTCCTTTTCTGAATTGGTGTGAAATCTCAGTGGTTTCCGAGATTAACGCGCATTTTAAGAATATTTCAGAAAACTTATATTTATCTAAGTTGTTTGCTTATAACTACCATTTAAAAAAAAATGTAAAACAGGGCTCAGATGTGAGATATTCGAAACATTTCAATTTTTCCCATTTTGTTTTTTTTTAATTCCCTTTGCCCAAAAGATTTCATTAAAAATTTTCATAATATATTCGGATTATTAATTATAAATTGAATTAGTATAAAATTCATTACAAACAATATAATTTTAGATTTTTTTACTAAAATTTTCAAAAATACTTATATGGTATGGAAGCTGGAACAATTTTTCAAATAAGACGCTTCTTTTATACGATAATATAATTTAGAATAAAATTTTTTTACGTATTAATAAAGAAACTATTTTATTTAAAAATTAAAAATCTCTAATTAATTTTAATATTAGTCTATAACATTATTTATAATTAATTAAATAAAATATAACAATATGAACATATTCAATACATCATTGATACAAGACCAAATAGCCGAAAATTTTTTGCATATTTATAGGTGTATAATTAAAGACTACAACCACAACTATAATTGTCAGGAATCTTTATAATTGAAAGGGATGTAGTACACTAAGTTATCTGAACTTTTTATAATATAATATGCAGCAGAATGTGATAAAATAAAATGAATGTGCGTGTTTTCCATCTTAACTACAATATTAATGAAAATTTTCTTTGAAAATAATATTTTCCATTATTAATTAAATTTCATTAAAATGGAAACTGTAGTTGATATATGCACCCCAATAATATTTTAACTGAAAATTTATATTTTTTAATGATACTCGTATTTTCTTAAAACAACATTAATTTCTATTAATAATTAAATATTTACAATTTAATTTTAACACATTTAACATCAATAAATTTATGATATCCAGCATCGTACCTGATGCATCAAAATCACATAAAATCCATTTTAATTGTATAAAAATCAATAAAAACCGTTGGAAATATTTCATCGCACTTGGATAAATTTTTTTTTTTTTTTTTTTATTAATTTAATTAAAAAACCACAAATTTTGTTTTTTTTTCTTTATCTTATTTTTATTATAATAGTCATATACAATTCCGTCGGTTCATTTCTTAAAAATTTTTGAAATTAAAGAAATAGAAAAATTACATGAAAATTATAAATTTGAAATGAATGTTCCAGTAGAAATTTTTCCGTTTTTATAGGTTTATAATACCTTCATATATAAAAAAATTTAATAAATTATCGCGCATGTGTAAATTTTATTTATACAAAAACAAATTGCATATTGCATATCAAGTTTTTATTATATAGGTGAATGGAATTATAGGCACAATATTCAGTAATTACAAGTAACGTACGTACATAAGTAAGACACCAAGAGCTTCATTGATGGTAATTTTAAGAGATTTTTTAAATTATTTATTGATATAAATAAATGATTTTTAATGAATGAAAAAATATGTGACTTTTTTGTATGTACCTCTAGCTTATATCTGTTATCTCCCTTTACATAATTATAAGATTTCTTTTATTAATATTTGATGCTGATGGAAAGAATTTTCGAACCGTACAATATCCAATAATTTGCATACTGAATAATTTAAAGTGTGTCAGGTTATCGCTAATTATTGCCACACCGTTACTGTTATATAACGCACCGCAACGCATTTTCAAACGCACCGGCTTAAATTGAGAGAAGTTGCACTAATTACTTTATATACTGCAAGATGCTACTATATATGCTTTAGTATTAAAGCGAATTATATTATGGTCATATACTTTAAAAATAACATCAAAATCTGTAAAAAAAAAATCTGTATAAATTATTTTAAAAATAAACTTTCTAATAATATACAAAATTTTCAATTTGTAAACCATCAATACAATTTAATTTTCTATTTTCTTATTTTTATTATACTTACTTTGAATTTTTAATTTTAGTTCAAAGATTGATTATAACGCGATTAAGATTCAATTTTAACAATTTTTCTCATTTTTTAAGATTATTTCCCAAGAGATTTATTGTGCTTAAGAAATAATAATATCAAATCATATCTTTACATTTTTAATAAATAAAACAAAAAAAAATTCTTGTACCTATATAAGAATATTGAAGATACATATATACATTCATATACATATTGTATATATTTGTATAGCTATGTGTAATGAAAATGTGTATAACTTGTAATGAAAAGTTAAAATAAGAATGAAAAAATAGAAAAACAAAATAAGAAAACATAATAAATAATAAAATCTTCAATTTGCATTCAATTTAAAGAAATTTATCATCATTTCAAAGCTAGATCATCCTTGATTTCATTTTAACTTCATGTTCAAAGTATAAGGATAATCAAAATAAATTTGAAATCTGCGTGGTATTTTTTTTCTTTTGCAATTTTGATTTATTTTTTTTTTATATTTTGCGTAGAATTAGAAATTATTTTAAAAATTTCTTACTTTTTATTAATATTCAAATACAAACATATTTCCTCTATATTGTGATAGAGTTTTTAAAGTTTATTTTAACACAATATATTCTTTAATAATAAAAGTGTGTTTATAATTTTCGGAAGCAACTTATTATTCAGAAATGTTAAAAGTAGTGTTTTTTGTTACAAATGGTCCTTTTCGTACTTTTCGTACAGTTTCGTTTATAAATTGGGGAAATATACATAATTGTACAGAAATACATATATATTTAAATGAACAGAGCAAAATTTATGAATTAATTTCAAAGACCATGAAATTTTCTATCTATACTTACAATATATATAAAATAGCATCAACGAGATTATTGAATAATAATCAAATTTTCAATAATTTTTTACTCATTACTTTCATTTTGTCTGTTTGTATTCAGTTTATAAAACTCGAAACAAGAAACCTTTATTTTTGACAATCAATATTTTTCATTAGTGTTTTCATTATTATACTTCTTTCAAATTTTTTATTCTAATCTCCTATTGAAAGCATACATACATTATGATGATATTTTGTATAATAAAAAAGAGTGAACTCCTATCAACTTCTCCATATACGAAATCATTAGATTAGAAATTAGTTTTACTATCTGATTTACTTTAAACAATTATTTTCTAAATCTGGGGTTTTTACAAAAATTGAGTTCGAACTTAGATCTTAAAAAAAATTGGGTTCGATAAATAAAAACTACCAAATCTTCAAATGTACCATGAATCACGATTGAAAACCCAGGGTTTTACCAGGATTACTTAAATTTCTAAAGTTCTAAAGTCTCTTCTAATTTGTTCCTACAGATCTGTAATGATCAAAAAAAATTTAATTTTTTTAATTTAAGTTAGAACTTTGAGCGCATATTTAAATTATCGAAAATCTACTACTTTTAATAGTTTTAATGCAGAAAATTTAAAATTCTTATTAGAAATATTATTTAGCAGCCATTAGAAAATTCGTTGAAATCCTTTAAGTACCCGCAAATGAATTTGAGAAAAAATAAAATTCAAATATTTTAAAATCTTCATAAATTTATAATAATATATTATTCTTATTAATTTTTTTTTTTTAAATTAAAAATAAACACTAAAAAATTAATGTATTTTAAAATATGAAAAATAAAAATATAACAAATAAATCTATATTTGAGGAAGTTGGCAACCTGCATTATATATTTTACAATTATACAAACTACATAGTTAAATATTTTCAATTTCATCATGCTTTTTCTTATTTACATCTACTTCATTAATTCGCTTTTGAAAATTTATAAAATGAAAAATTTTAAAATGAAATGAATTTTTTAAATTTTATTAAAATTTACCAGAAACTAGTTTTTTTACTAATATTTTTCTTCATTTTTCTTATCATCAATCTTTTGTAATCGTTTTTCAATTAATTCTTTGAAATTCATTAGTTCAGCTATACTTATATTTCCAAAAATATCAGTATTATCTGAAATTTTGTCACCCATTTCATTAATTTTATTAATTTTCCCTGTATTAAAATTTTTCGATTTTAATGGTGTTATTTCTTTATCTTTGATTTTAGGTGATTCTTCTAATTGATTATATCCTCGCAGCAGTCGAATATTTTTAGCATCAAAATTTTTCTCCTGATTAGCATTGTTATTAAAATCTTAATGAAAAGAATTGTTTTTTTTTTTTTGTTTATGTCAGAATAAAATTAGAATAGTAAAATTACCTTTTAATTTAACGCTATTTTTATGATTTAATTTCGAATTCAAATTTATTTTAGTCCTCATATCTTTAATATTTGTATTACAATCATTGTTTTTAGCATTGTTTTGTTCCCTAAACGCCATTTCAATATTCATATTATTAAAATTGAAAGAGCAACGTTCAGTACTATGATTAGATTTCACATCAATATCTACCAAATGATAAATAAATTTTTTAATTTTTTATAAAGTAAAAAATATTAATTCAAAATATATTTTCTTACTTCCAATTTTCTTATTATTAGCTTCATCTAAATCTGTTAGGGAAATATTCAATTTTACAAAATCTGGTATTGGTATTTTAAAATTATTATTTTTCTGATTATCCACTTTTAATGGATAATTTCTACTTTCATTCAAATCCCTATTTCCATGAAATGTTAGATTCCCATTTTTTGAAATAATAGTTTGACTTGAATTTGTATTTGATCCCAATTTCTTATTTTCATTAATAAATATTGTTCTACTATCTTTAACAAACTTAACGAAACTTTTCAAAAATTTAATTTCAATAGCAGAAAAGGGTTGAATATTTTGTATTTCTTTCTTTTCTTGCTTATTGGTAGTTGATTTTATAGACCTTGTTCTACTATTATCATTATAAACTTCATCATATTTAGTGCCTTCTGACAAATTCTTTTTATTAAATAAATTATCCCATTTATCTTTAACTTTTTGGTATAAAGTAGGTTGCTCATTTGTTTCAGTTGATGTTGAATCACAGCAATCTAACATGTTATTAATATTTCTTACATTTTGAATTTTTTCATCCTCTCTGTCGAAATTAATTGATTGAAGTTGTTTTTTATTAAAATCTTGAGTTTGTTGTTGTCTCACTGAATTTTCAAATTGATCACCTTTAAGATTTTTTGATTTTTCTTTAATTTTACGATCGTTTAGCTCATCTTTATTCACTGGAATATCTTTAAATTTTTGTGATTGAAATTTTTTTAGATTTTGCCGTAATTCTTCTGTTAAATTTTTATATAAATTCAAGTTTTTGACTAGTTCCGAATCAACATCAATATTTTGAGTAATCGAATTTGTATTGGAAAAAGAAGTTTCTTCAGAAACTGGCTCATTGTAGTGTTTTAAGACTCCATCGTCGTAAAGATAAAATGAATTATCTGGAGATATCAAGAATGCTTGATGGCATTTACAGCAAATCATTATCCTAAAAAGAAAATCAAATGTGTATATTTACGTAATTTCACATGCATTTGCACAAGATTTCTTTTCTGTTGCATAATTACCAAATCACAAAATGCAGGAATAACATTTATAGTAAAATATTTACATATGTATGTTAACTAATAAATAAAAATAAAATATAATGTATTTTTTAAAACGTTTCAGAGAAAAATATGACTTAAAAAGAAATGTTGTAAATTAAATGAAAATTTTCATAAATAATTCTACGAGTGACTATAAGAGAATATTTTAGTCAACTACTTTTTTTCAAATTTTATGAAGGGAAGATGTGAATTTGATAATGATCTAAAAGTTACTAGAAATGATCAAAATTTCATTTAAATTTCATTTCCTTCAATTTCCTTCCCTTTAGTGTCTTTTTCGAATTAAAGGAAGTTTTTTTTTATTTTAAAATACTTATATATGTGAAAAGTTGCAGACTCAGAGAAATTATCAATTCATTTTACAAAATATTTTTGAGTAAAAATCAACTTTTCTAAATGGAATTTCAATAAGTCAGCAAAATAACATTAAATGCTACTATTGCCCTGAAATATTATTGATTTTGGTAAATAAGTAATGGAAAAATAAATACGAGTATGTATACATATAATACATATATGTATCTATAAAATCAAATAACTACTGTTGATAATCCTCTAAAAAAGATGTTTTAATTAAGAAAAGTTAAGTTCTAGTTCTAGGTAAAAAAAGGAATTAAAAAATATTTACTAATTATATTTGGAACTTATTGTTAGTGTCCTTCTTAGTTAAAATTTAAAATAATAAATTTGTTCCTTTTTAATAAATTAATACTTTATTATAAAATTCATATATAGTGTAAATAGTTATTTATGTATTATAAAAATACTAAAAGTGCAAATATTAAAAAAAAAAAATGAGTTTTACTTTTAAAGAATTCCATTTTTTTATAATATTTATCACTCTATTCTGTTATTAATTAAAAAACTTCATCAGGTGAAATAAAACATTCAATTAAAATCTTTAAATTATTTTTTTGTTCCAAACTTAAACTAGTATTATTTTCTTTTAAAGTATTCTTTAAATATATGGAACAGTTTATTAAAGGTGAAGCGTTCTCCGGAATTATTCGGCTAATAACTCTTTTCCAAATTTGTTTAACAATTTCAATGTTATTTAAGTTAATTTTAAGTTGATTAAAATCATCATTTTTTGCTAATTTTATCATATGAGATAATGCAAAACATAACTGCTCTTGTAAGTTATCTCTATGTTTGTATTCATTGAAATCTGTTAAGTTATCGGATTGTTCTATTGCTGCCAATAAAGATGACCATATCAATATGAAATGTGAACCATAACGATTTCGCTCATTTATTGCTGTTAAAGCATTTACACCATTTATTCTTACTTTAAAATTGGGACTATTTACAATAACATCACAAATTGATTCAAAAACCATATTTTGCCAATTGAAATCCGTATACGTGGTAAATAAAATATTGTTTTTCATAAAGTTTCCTAAAGCGTAACATGTATTCCATTTAACTTTGGCATTAGCACTTTTCGTAAGGCAAAAAGTTAATTTTTCTATAGACTGAAAACACAACGAACGCCATGAAGGAACTTCTATTTGTTCCTGCCTAATTATCCGAAGAAGATTTCCTATTGTACGAACAATGTTACATTTAACCTGGAATGAAATATAAAAATATATAATTGCAAAATATTGTAAAAATATAATAAACCTTATCGTTATAATTAATTAAATCAATGGAAATTTGGAACATTTTTTGCAATAAGTCATCAGATATCCTATCCAGTTTAGAATCATTACTAAAAAAAAAAATTATGAATATTTGAATTCAATATGTTGTGGTAAATATTATACCAAAGGGGAATCAATGCATCACTTATATTCCCTAATGACCAAGAAGATTTAATTCTTACATATGAGTTTTTCTCTTTTAGGAGATTCACTATTGAAGAAGCTGTATTTTCAACAAAACACACATCACCCCGTAATGAAGGATATAAAACATACACTGCTAAAGCACGAGCTGCAGAAGCTCTCACAGCGCTGTCCTCATTGAAACTAATACCTGTTAGAAGCGATATTAACATCATTTGTTGGGAATGCTAAAGATAAAATTGTTTTCTTTAAATTTCAAAAAAATTATCAAAAATCACAAATTCAAAAGCTTACCGTAAATTTTTCAAATATATAAACGCCGACGTTTGACAAAAAATCACATAACGTTCCCTTTAATGCAGAATTTTGTTTAGGATCTTGAATTTTTTCAATAACTGGTGGCAAAACCGAAATCCAAAAGTTTTGACAAAGTGTTACATCATTTAAGGAAGCTAAAAAACATTTTGAATTAAAATTTTCTTTTAGTATACGATTTAGATGATTACGATTTGATAACAAGAAAGTGTTGATTGAATGCCCTAAAGCATCCAAGCATTTTGCAGAATGCAACCTAACTTCATTTTGTTCATCTTTTAGTGAAATTAATAAAGCATTAGAAACCAATTGCAAGTGGTCTTTGAGAAATAATATATGTGAACACAAAGCGGTTAAAACTTGTAAGCATTCTATGCGAACAGGTATTGATGCTGGAATAGTATTTAATCTCTATAAAAGAAAAATAAAAATGTAAATTGCTGAACAATTAATCAATAACCTTGTTAACAACCACGTACTTTTAATTTGTCAGGAAAGTCCATATCTAAATTACTTATAAGCTTTTCTAAGAGCCATGGTAGTTTGCAATCATCTCTATTCTGACTTGTTTGCAATTCTGGACAACTTTCTGTACCATCAATATCAAGTGGATCAACTTCATCATAGTATTCAGTTTCAATTCTGAGAATTCAATTTTTTTTTTATTTTTGAAGTATCACATTTGGAAAATTTATGTACCTACATTTCATTTACCACCATATCATTTAATTTATTTTCATTTTTTAATATTTTAATGTGAGGTGTGGGCATTCCAATGCTTTCAGAAATTTCAGTAGTCATTTCCGAAGTGGAAATAAAAAATTCCATTACCGTTAAAGCTGCTACTTGAATTGTCGGGTCTAAACATTAAGTGTTAATTTAAAAATATTTTAAATAATTTATGCAACCTGTGAATTTACCTTTATGATAAACTAAATTTCTTGTGTGATTTATACATTCACTAACAAAACCGCTTTTCAATCTTGAAAATGGAGTGGACTAAATTAAGAAAAATTATTCCAAAAATAAAAATCATGAAATTTCTTGAAAAATAAAAAAAAATATTTAACTTTTATATTACCTGAACTAATATAGCTAAACATTTTAAAACTTGGGTCAGTACCGGCAAAGAATTTTCACTGCGTATGCCATGCATTAATATTTCATACATTGAAATTATCGTGTTACCTAATGCAACAGAAAATGGAGTGAATGAAGACGGACCTTTATCACTAGTCAATTAAAATAAACTAAAAATATTATCAATTTCTGAAATGAAATATTGAGAAAATTCACCTATTTTCAGCTTGCATTAAAAATTGTTTAGAACCATACAAAAGCAAACAAAAAACTTGAAATGCGGCTAGTCTACACTTTGGATTAGGATCTCTCACAGCACATTTAAAAATGCTATAAGAAATTTGGTGAATTTCCTTTGAAACTTCTTCTTCAAATGGAAGTAAACAATGAAAATAGCTAAATATCACTTTTTTGTCTGCGTTCTAAAATTAATAAATAAGAATATTTAAAAATTGGTCATTTGTAACTAGGAAGGACAAATTTACCTTAGCTATTGCACCTATTAAAGAAATTGTGTTCAATCTAATTTTAGTTTGCCTGTGCCTTTCATTTTGAATCCGACCAGTATCTGATTCAGAAAAATCTGAATCACTTGTTTTGTTAAATAACATAAAATCTTCAGTATTTTCTGATGTAACGTTTTTATAAACCTCTTCTAAATTTTTAGGTTTTTTTTCTTTAGCTTTTGTGTCTTGCTTTTTATTTTTAACAATATTTCTTGGCTTACGAGTTTTTAAAATTTTGCCGCCTTTGAAACCAAGGGCGATAGATTGTGGTTCAATAACCGCTTGTTGAGAAGGTAGAACTTTTTGCAAGCGAATATTGCTTGTTTCTATCAATCCATATTGTAGAAATGCTTTTGAAATTCCTAGCAGGCTTCCTATGTTTACTTCACACCATTCTGGAACTTCGAGAGCAATTTTTTGTAATATATTTATTGCGGATGACAAATAACTCATGCACTGGGATGAGTCTTTGATTTCTATTTTGTTGCTGTACATTATTGAAATAACTTTACATCCTAAATGAGTAATGATTTCTATATCAATATCAGTTATATTAATGTTTTCATCTGCAATGAATACTAATAAAGAGTCAGCACAAGCAAGTACATTTGCTAAAATTTCTTCATCAAATCTATTAACATGTTTTGATTTGTTGAATTTTAGGATATCCACCGAATTCAACAATCCCATTAATGGTCCGTCTGGTGATAAAAAAATCTGAAAGTACTAAGTTTTCTGAAACTTTATTTATTTGTATCTATAAGGTAAACATACAAAAGAATTCTAAAAACTTACAGTATATGTAAACGCATTATGGTTTTTGAATAAAACGGCAAATGCTTTTAAAATTTCACTAACTGTTTCGGATTCGTTAACGTTTAAACATTTTAACAACCATTTTATCGTTGCGTCAAACACATTTTCCGGTAAACATATTTTTTGTTTATTAATTAAAGCACTCATTAAGCAACAAACTTTCATTATCAGCACCTCTTCTGTAGATGGTATATTTAACATAGACTCCAACAATCGTAAGGCAGCCTAAAATATTTTGGACACCTTTATATATTTGAAAATTTATATATGTATATACAAGTGAATGATATTTTCCATACTTTGCTATCCATTTTATATTTTCCATAATCTAAACTATTTAAATCATTAAGCAATACAGAAATTTCATTTAAATGGCTTTGATTTAGACTGTTACAGTTTAGAAATAAAAACTTTGTTGTTAAATCATTGAATTCTTCAATTAATTCCCTATTTGCCATTTTACAATCTTGCTATTTATGTACAAATCCAATTTAAAAAAAAAAGTTTCTTTAATGAGTTTTAATGTTTTCTAAAAGAACCCTAGCGATAATTTGTTGTGACATTTAAAGTCACTACTTGAAGTGTAAAAGTATTTTAAGAAATATTAGGTTCTTTCAACAGTTCACTCGATGCTTGATGACTTCACAAGAAATGTGTGAAAGAAATACAAATTGGATAACATGCCAGTGGCAAGTTACTTCAATAGCTTTGACAAATTTTCATAATGAAAAAATAATTTATGAAGTGTTTTCCTAGAGACATTCCAAAAATATTATGTATTTAATTTTTTGACACATCTTATCCTTTAAGGTTGTCAAAAAATACATAAATTGTTTTTTGTAGGAATTGTAGGAATTATTGGAATTGAAATTTAATTGATTTATTTTATTTTCAATATTAACAAAATAACTGAGTTATTTATTATATTATTAATATTTTAAAATAAATGACAACTCTATACAAAAATGTGTTTACCGTCGTTCACACCTTAATGATTGATGTAATTGTTTAGTTGACATTTTGAAAATTTTCGCATACGATTTCGACTGTTGTCATATGTGTGTTCGTGTAAACTGTGTTTATGGCTTTCGACATCAATAAGAAAACTATTGAAGAAGTGTTTACATTTTAAGAGATCAAAACTATTGGTAGATTAAGAAATATTTTGTATAAGAAAAAATTGTTTTTTAGAAGACATAATTATGAAAAGAAGTTCAGAAGAAAATTTTGTACAAGATCAAACAAAGAGGATTACCTCACCATTAATGTCGGCACAATATCTTCCACAAGCACAAACACAACAGTCTCCACCAGCATTGTCACCTTATCCATTTCTTCCATATCCAGGGAATTTAATATATACTAGACCACCACAGTGGCCATCCAGATATGATCATCCTACAAATTTACCTCCGCCTCCAATTGTACCCCCACCAACGCAACCACCTCCACCGCCGGTTAACTCAAATCTTAATCAATTACCTATGCCAATATTTGACTTAACACAACCACCACCACCTATAAGGCCGAACATGAAGGCAATTAAACCAAATTCAAACTGTTTATCAACTTCAAATATGTTACCTGGGATAAGTCCTGGAATGAGTAGGATACCAAATCCCTGTGTTATCCGTCCGCCTTTGCGTGGTAGAGGAGTCAATTTCCGTGGATTACAAGTTCGCTCAAGATCCTTGCTTAATTTAAGAAATGTTACACCAAATACCGTACAGCAAGTAAATCCAAATACAAATCTTGAAGATCCGGACGGTAATGGAATATTAAAAAAGTTAAATTAAACGAAAATAAACATTTTTTTTTAGGTAAACGAATATTAGTAAACAGAAAATCAAAAAGAAAACCTATGTCTGCAAGATATATGAGGTCCAAAGAATGGGATCGAGATGATGCAGAGAAAGCCTTAGCATTGGAAAATGAATTTAATAAAATGCAACGAACACCAATGTTGATTTTGAAATTTCCTGATCCAGATCTCAATAAACAAGTTGTTAAAAAATATTCAACTGCTATCGATACGGTACATTTTCAGCAACCATCTACCCCAAGGTACTGCTTTGTCACTTTAAAAGATGGTAATGATATAGAAAAAGTTCGAAAAGAACTTTGTGAAATTCCTTTTGGTACAGGAAAAATTGTTGCAGAGCAAAAATTTCCATCTAACGAAGAAAATCAATCGGTATAAGACTTTTAAGATTTCAAAAAAATATACGTTACATGCGATCCAAAATAATAAAATATTAAATATTTAGGTTTTACCTGAAGAAATTGACCCATATACATTATATATTGGAAATCTTCCGACAAAAGTATGTGTAAAAACCGTCAAAGAACATTTTCCAGGAGCAGCAAGAATTGATATTGGTTATGCTCAACGCATGAAATATACTCGATATGCTTTTATTCGTTACAATAATGTTGAAGATGCTATGGAAGCTTATAAACGGACATACAACACACCAATAGGAAATCGAAGTTTAATAGTTCGTTTTAGGAGATCCAAGGGTAACATAGGGTTACCGGGAGAATCGAGGATTCCTAATGCCCCAAAGAAATTGCAAGAGGCCATAAAGGGAGAGAATAACTCTAAGGGAACGACAACAAAAATCCCCAAACCTAGTGGTGATAGTGCAACAAAAACCCATTCAGATGAAAAGGATGAACAAAATGTTTTATTTAATTCCGATGAATATGAAGAAGAAGAAGAAGAGGATGAAGATAGTAAAGCAAATTTCTTCGACGAAGCCAGAAAAATAAGACTAAATATGAACCAACGTAAGTACATTAATATTTCCAAAACATTCTTCTATTGATTGATTTTATTTCAGATTTAAAACATTATCACAGATCACTTCCTATTAAACAAGAATACAATGATTATGAAGATATGTTAAATTCACCAGAACAAAATCGAAATAAAAACAATTCGAATCATGTATCAGGTAATTTACTTGAAAGTAGAATCAAAGAAGAACCAATGGATGATGATGAGCTATTAGCTTGTGCTAGAACGTATAATATGGATGATGATTTTAATGTAGACGATGACTTTGATGATGGTATTCATAAAATTATTTCTTATAAAATTTGCTTTAATTTTCAAATATATGTATATTTTCTGTTGCAGAGGAACCAGAAGAAGAGGATGATTTCTTAGACAATCAAGCTGAACAAAATATTTTCTCAGATCCTCCAAAATTTGAGAGAACATCTATGACACCAATATCTAGTAAATCGAACGAAACCGAAAATTCTAGGCTATGTAATTCCTTTACCGAAGTGGATGTGAAACCAGATTTTTCGACTTTACCACCACTTCCATACACTTCTTCAACATATGGTTTTAATTCCGGTAAATATCAATACACTAGGAACCAAACAAATAATTACGGGCTGAGAATGAATAACTTTAGTAGACGTAAAAATGAAAAGACTGGCAAAGATAATGAAAAGGATGATGACGACGAAGACGACATCTTTGATGACCTCAACGCAGACGATGATTTAGATGATATTGGAGACTTTTAGTGGGATGTATTTCTACAGCATTTTATTTCTATTTATTTTTGCTTTTAACTCAACTTGCTGACTTAAGTTTTTATTTAATATTATGAATTCAGAGCTATTTAATTTTTTATTTTATTAGTAATTACATATGACTTTATTTTTGCTAAAGTTGATCATTATAACTTTTTAAGTGATAAAGAAATAACATAATATTAATTTAAGTTGTAGTGTTCGTAAAATCCAAATAACATATTAATTTTAATATGTTTCCGTCTTATTTAAGTAAAATTTGATAAATTGAAAACAAGATTAAGTTATTTACCAGTCTCACAAATTTTTTTTTTTTGTCACAAATAATTAGTAAAGTAATTACTTAATTAGTAAATAAATATTTAAATGTTTATGAATAAAATTTGTTAAAGTTTTGTATTTGAACAAAATTATATGTATGTTATTTTGTCTACAATCAAAAATTGAAAGGTAAACTACGAACTTACTTGTTTTTTTTATTTTTAAATTCAAATAATGTAATTAAATGAATCAATAAATTTTTATTTTAACGTATTTTTTACATGAAGATACGAAAAAAGAACTATAAAGAATTTTGTGGTTTCCTTATAACAAATATGAATATTTTTACTAAATATAAAATTTTTATTTCATTGTATGTAAGTATTTGAATTATATAATCTAAGTTTATTTTATAATCCTTTAAAGTGAAATTGTTTCTATTCCGTATACCATTTCTTTTTTCTAGGTTTGTTAGTTTCATTACCAGATTTTGGAACCAATAAACTTTTGTATTTATTTACTAACAGTGAAAAACTATCTTTTTCCAACTTTTTCTTACCCTTCTTGGGTCGATCAATAGCTTTTTTTTCAATTCGTAATTGCTTTCTTTCTTTCTCCTTTTTATTTTTTTGTTTAAGTAGTGAAAGTTTCTTTTTATGTTGCAAAGTTTGTTCACGAATTTTCTTTGTTGATCGAGTCCTCACAAAATTTCCAGGTTTTGCTGGTATCCCCATAAAATCTTCATCAATACATTTATCTGGCTGAGTTGATGAATTTGTATGGTTTTTATTAGTATTATTTTTCATGATTTGTATATTAGATTTATTATCTTTTTGAAGTTTTTGCTGTTTTTTAGCTTTTAGTTTCTCTAATTTTTCTTTAAAGAACGGGTTATTCTGACGCGATTTTTCTAATCTTTTCTTTTTAACATTATGAACTGATCTATCTTCAATACTGAAACCTACTATTGGACGCTGAAATTTATTTTATATTAATAAAATAATTATTTTTATATAGAACCAATTTCTGCTTACATTTTGGTTACCAAATATAGAAGGATTGTTATTTAATTTCCTCAAAGCTAATAAAGCTTCTTTATGGCTTTTGAAAGACATAAATCCAAAACCCTTGGATTTCCCTAATGGATAACCCACTGAAGGTTTGTTTTCCCTAATTATACGACATTCATGCGGTTTAAAATTTGTATATTTTATAACCATGTCTTTTAACTTTTCATCATTATAATCTAAAGGCAAATTATGGATAGATAAACGATTTCTTGACACGAACCTGCAAAACAAGAATTTTTTTCGTTTTATATCAAAATTTATTTTTGACAAAACAGTTTACCTATTTAAGTTCTTTAAGACTTGACCTTTTGTTTGTTCAATTTTATGCCGTTTTGCCATATCACTGGAAGAAACACCCTCCGCTGCTTTTGAACCTGCCATTATTAGTCCTTCCTTAATTAAATACAAATTTCTAGAATCCTTATGATTTTCATCCTTTTTTCCTTTATTTTTAGCTTCTTCCCTACTTAAAGCTGGTAAAGCTTCCATAATTTGGTCCAATAAGATAAATTCGTCGCCAGCTCTCAAGCACATTTCCGCAGAATCTTTTGTTTTAAATTTAACAAATGCTGTTCCTCGAGAATGCCCAGAAATCGGATCTTTGTTAATGAGAGCATAGTAAATGGGACCAAATTTCCGGCATACTTTTCTTAAATCATCTTCAGTAGCATCAAATGGGACGTTTTTAATGAATATTGTGCATTCTTCTTTTATATCGTTAGATTTGAATTTTGGCTTTGATTCGAACGTTTTTTCAATATCTTTTTTTTCCATTTTGTCTCCATTTTCTGAGTTATTTCCGTCTATGTCCATATAATTTTCACTTTCAGAATTCTCATTTTGGAGACTTTCTTCAGTGCAGTTTCCCTCAGTATCACTTTGCTCCGAATTACTTTCATTTTTTTCTATTTCTGACTCACTTTCCGAAGGTTCTTCCTTTATAGTAACAGAGATATCTTCCTTCTCTCTGTTTAATTCCTTTTTAATAGACATATTTTTTCTCTTTTCATATTCATTTTTACCAATAGCCCAGTCTATGACAACTATCCTATCTAAAAATGATGTATTATTTCCTTTTGAAATTGCTTTCGCTGCTTGGTTAACTGTTTCGTACTGCACAAATCCACATCCTACCAATTTACCATCGCCTCTTTTTAATAACTTAATATCAACAATTTTACCAAATTTTGAAAAAAAATCACGAAAGGAATCTTCAGTAGCCTTATACGAAATATTTCTTACAATAATTCTTCCCCGTTTTTGCCTTCGTCTTTCTTTTTGCTCTTTGAGATTAGCTTTAACTTTTACCTTTTTTTTTGCTTCAAGTGGAATAAAATCCTTTTCATCTTTAATTAAATAAGATTTAATATTAGGCGAAAGATTCAAAATTACGTTTACCTTTCATATTGCTTTCAAAGTTCATATTTCAAAAACTAATTTCAATGTTTAATCATCGATATTACAATTATTTTATTTACTATGTGACTGCACGTGTATTTGTTTATTATTTTCAACCTCCTTCTTTTTTAAATGCTATCCTAATAATGAGGAGAGTTCTGACACTGACATTTAGGTAGTAGAGCTATGACAATTCACTTATTATGTCATTTTAGTTTCATAGTGGTAAAGTAGTATTTAACGAGAGAGTTCCACTCAACGTCTTTACGTCCAGATAATAGTATTTTTAAACTGTTGAGACTATCACAAAAACCAAATAAAAATGCCGATTTCAACTAATCCCGAAGAACTAATGCATAATTTTTTGTTTACTTGATACTTTTCGAACATGCCCATATATGTTTCTATGTATTATCTCCTCAAACCACGATCTTCACCCAGAAGTTAAATATTTTCAAACCCAAAATATTGGATAAACGAATTTTCAATATAAAATTTTTGATTAGTTAAAATTTTATCCAAACGTCCAAAGATTTAGCAAAAGTCTACTTTAAGAGCTCTGATTTTAAAAACGAACTATAGAATTACATTCTATCACGTATTCTGTTATTTAACAGTTCCTCAAATTTGAAGTATATAAGCTCTTTGATTTTAAAATCTGTTCTAATGTAAAGACGTCAAATTTTATTAAATTGACAGAGTCAAATATTAAACTAAAATTGACTCCACTAAATTCAACTCACACAACACCATTAGTACCTCTTTGTTCATTTGTAGTATACTATACACAAGAAAATTTGTTGCTGGAAATTTTATTCCTTATATTCACAATAGATTCTTCATCCAACTTATTAATCAACATTGTATCGAGCTTGTACGCATTTCCAAATGTTAAATTGGAGAAACAACTTAAACAAAAAACTCCAATAAAATTAAAGACTTGATCGATAAACGAATAAAAAAACTTATAATAATAATATAAAAATTTTTTTATTTTGTGAACTCAACAATTTTTTCATTTTTAAAGTCTTTATTTTGAGTAATAAAAAAGAAATAAAATATTTTTGGTTTTGTGCGTTCTTAAAAATTATTTATAACTGGTTTGAAAAGTACAAAAATATTCATAATTTGCACTCTAGTGACATGATTTTTATTAAAGCGACATAATGTTATAAGATCGTGTTTAATTTGAATAAAATTGAAATATGGTGGATTGAAAACAGATCAGATTTTAGCAGAGGCAGCAGTAAATTGAATTGACAAGCAACTTTTACTTTTCCTCTTGTTTCAAATTATTCATTTAGTTATTTGTATTTTATTCGTTTATATTAAAGCGTGCTCTAATCTCATAAGCAACAGAAAGGAAGTGTGCAATCAAAAGATTTCTAGTACTTTACAAACTAACTTAAGTTGGCAGTTGGCGTATTAGATTTGTATTAAGGCAACAGCTCAAATAATAGCAGAGAAATGAATTTGGATTACACTGAATTTACAATCAAGCAATAACTGCATGTGTGCTGCTATACTAAAAACAAGTTGCATCAAATAAATTGTGAATAGCATAATTTCCCATACGGAAATTTTTTTCATCAACATGTTTATTAAATAAAGTCGTGAACCTGAATTGTTTTTCATTTGTCGTCTTGAGAAATTTTCATAATTTTAATATAGCTGAAAAAATGTTTTAGCAAAAATTTTTAAGTTTTCAAATACAAAATGGACGAAGAAAATGCATCACAAAATAAAAAGAATCAGCAAATACCTTTGAAAAATTCAATAAGATGGTTTTCCTCATTGCGCAAACAGAAAGATTTACAAAGTTAGTATATATACAACAAAAATAGACAAAGAATAAAATAATTGATTTTTTATTTTTGAATCTTTTCCATTTTTTAAGAACAAGATTTACAAACATTTTCTGGAAGCGATGGTGATCTCAAGAAGAAAAGAAATCGTAGCATTAAAAAAGAAGATAACGTATTTCAAAGAATTAAATCAAAACTTCCTCTACGTATGAACCAAAGTATTAATAAATTGACAACATCAAAGTCAGTTGATTCAGATTTTGAGCAAGAAAACTTATCTTGTGTTAATCAGACTGCCCAAACGAGTAACGATAATAATGATAATCACAAAACGGATCAAAAACTAGATAATAAAAATGAAACCAGTTGCTCAAATTTTAATAATGATAATTTACTAGAAATTCCTTTCACACATCACTATAGACGTCATATCGCCAAAAAATGGATAGAAAATAATAGCTTAGGACCAAACATGATAATGTATAAAGCTTGCACTGAAATGATTAAGTATGTTTAAAAAATATAATAAATATAGGTTTGTTTATTACAGTATAATAAATTGAAATGTAAATTTAATTGCAGTTATGTGTGGTATTGGGGTGAAACATCACGTCAAGATGCACAAAAGCAACTAACTGACAAACCAAATGGATCATTTTTAGTTCGCGATTCTGAATCATGTTCTGAAACAGAGGCATGTCGCTTTACTTTATCTTTTCGTATATGTAATTGTACATTTCACTATCGTTTACAATATCGTGAGAATTTTTGGCATTTTGAAGAGCGTCAATATGAATCTGTTGTCGACATGATCGAAGACATAATGTTAAGAAGCACCGATGAAAATTTTGTGTGTTATGTTAAAGCGCATAATGTTGTTCCAGTATATTTACGATATCCAATTAGTCGTTACGTTAAAATACCAACACTTCAGGATTTGAGTAAAAGAGCAATTAATCAAAAATTTCAATTAGGTGCAAAAGATATTGAAAAATTACCAATACCAGTTAAATTGCAGCAATTTCTAACTGAAAAAAGTTCATTAGTTTTTTAAGTTATAAAAAAGAATATATTGTATATGTTAAATTTTTCTTTATCTTTTTTCATAACATGCATCTTATTTAGATTCAGATTTTGAGTTTGATATTATATTTAGCTAATATAAAATGTTATTGTTTTATTTACATTATTTCATTGCAAAACAGAAAAATTTTGGTGTTAATTCAAAATAATATTAACTATAAAAAAAATTATCATTTTTAATAATTGTTATAATCGATTTTTATCGCATTTTGATCAAAATTAATTTATAAAATAATTTTTTATTTATATGATAAACATGTCTGCCAATTAAATACAAAAGGAAAAAAAAAAAACAATTGTTTTAGAAATTGTAATAAAAAAGTTAAAATTTTGTTCCATGTGAAATACAATAACTACATTTAAAGAAATTATAACAAAATGGAAAACCATACTTTCAGAAAACTTACTTAAGTCTTTTTTCCATATAAGTAAATTTTATATTATTAATAAAGAGAGAACATTTTGTATTATAAATTAAGCGAACTTTTTTTATGATAACAATTAAAAATAATTAAAGGCTTAAAAATTTTTAGACAATGTTATTTAAATTGTAGAAAATTTTAATATAAGACCATACTTTTGCCAAAAAAAAGTATGATTTATTTTCAATTGCGTTATTTATCTTTGAAATGGTTGCTTTAAAAATATTTAAACAAAAAAAAATATATTCTAATTTTATTCATGTATACATAATATTGTAATTTATTTTATATTTTATATTAAGAATAAAAAATAAAAATCGAATGTAATATATATTCAGGCGATAAATATTTTCTCTAATATAAATAATTTCTCTAATACATAATAATGTATGTATGTTTAAAGGGAAAAACTATAATATGAAAATAAGTGAAAAAAAGCCAAAAAGTAACATTTTTACACATTATTAATCATTAAGAATATTTAGGCATCAATTCATTTCAATACTTTTTTTCTTCTTTTATTTTAAAATTTACCAAATTAAAAGTAAATAAATCGTAATGTATAAATGTATAAAATATAATTGAATAACTTATATTGTTTACATTTATCTATTTATATAATTAACATTTTTGCATTTTATATGTACAGATTTATTTACATAATATTTTTTATCAGTTCAAAGAAGTCTACTTTTTATTTTTAATTAAGAATGTTGATTTTATATAGAAAAGACACCGATGTAAAAAGGTCTATTGATATTCCAAACTGTTAGAACGGTTGTATTAGACCACTAAATTCGAACACTACTTCTTTGAACCGAATAAATATCTAATATTAAGTATTTATAGATTAGAAATTATTATTTTTTTTTTATTTAGTCTAATCTTTGTAGGAAAATACTCTTACTAGAGATCATATCTTAATGGATTTATGTGATTCTAAAAACTAAAAAGATAAAAAATGTATTAAAAATAATTAAATATAAAAAATTGTAAAAACGTAGTTATTGCGTATTATTATCGAACTTATTTGCATCATAGAATATAATATATGTGAAAATAATATTTAAATATATATAAATTATAATAATATACATTGAAAAATATAATGGCAATACTTAATTTTTCAAAAAAAAAAAAAAAAAAAAAACCAAAATGAATTAATTGATACCACAACATAATTTTGCGTAGACGTATTCCGAAGAGATTTCGATTTTTAAGAAAATTCATAAAAATACAAAATAACGCACAAATCCAAAAACTAAACAATGAATTAGAAAAATACCATCTTTCTTCCATAATTCAAACTCAATTTTAAACGTTTATAATATGAATTTAATTGAATATCAATATTTTGATACAAAAAGAAAAAAAAAAAGTAAATAAAAAAAAGTAAAAATATTAAAAAAGCGTAGAATAATAAAAATTATAGATTTATCTCAAGGGAAAGTAAAGATATGTATATGTACATATTGAATATATATGTATCAATATATATTTGTATTTATATATATTTAAGATAACATATGTAATCATAATTGAAAAAATAAAATCATAATTTAATTTTTATTTATCAGCTAAATATTAATATTTGTATTTATACATATATTTTAACTACATATGCAAATATAAGTATATCCTTACAATGTACGCGTATGTAAAGAATATTTTTAAGATATTGTTTTACTTCATCTTATTTTTACTTAGAAATCAATATTATTCATTATTATTTTTTTTTTTATTAATATGTTATCGAATTTCATGTTTTGTTTTCTTTCTCAGACTATTATAAATTATTTTAGCAAAATAAAATGTTTATCTGGAAATTTTTTTTCAATAAAAAGTATTTATTTTTAAAATAAAGTTGAGCACATTTCGTTTTTGTAATTCATATTTTATTTATATAATTCCAATAAATAAATAAAATACCAATTCTTGTTGTATTTCCTTTTATTTTTATTTTTTCATTTTTTTTTGCTTTATTTAAGTTTTTCTTTAATATCACAACAACCTTTGACCAGAATTTACAATAAATAAGGTAAACAGTAATTTCTCTTCTTTGTTGACTTTGTTAAACTTACATTAGAATGTCTTTGCAAACACCATGAACCGAATTTCTTAAACAATTAATATAAAAACAAAGAAAATTAAAATTTTTATTATATTCTTCTATCATAATTAAGTCCAAGAATGTTTCTTGCCTAAAAATAAATAAAATTTTTGAATATTGAAATTTTATCTTCTTATATTTACTGTTTCAAATGTTGCATTCAATCTATTTTTAGTTCGTTGACTTGGTTCTCCAGATTGTCCAAATACTAATTCTACTACTTGAGCCTCATTCATTCTATTTTGTAAAAATTCCCATGTTGCCTGATGGTTTTCTGACTTATCTTGTAACATATATAACTCTGTTAGCTTATATATTGTAGACATACCTATACGTCTTGTATACCATCCAAACTAAAAAAAAAAAAAATTATTAATGATACATTATTTTAATTCCTATTCAATTACATCAACAGATCTATCACCAGCAAAATAACAAATGTCATCTATTAATGTTAAAATTTGTGCTAATGACTTAGGTACATTTTGTGGCAAAGCCATTTTAGCTAATGCTTGAGGCCAATGTTTTTTATATGGTATAAGCATTTCTAAACGATATTTAGTAGCTTTTACAAGAAATTCTGTTGGTTCCTTTGGAATTATTTCTCCATTTTTGGTTTCTTGCCTTAGATATTCAACTAGTTTACTATTACAATCTCCATAAAAGTGGAGAATTAAATCTATACTACCATCTGGAAATAGACCATGCGCAACACCAGGTAAACCCGCTTTTTCAGCTCCATTTATTAGTGCTTCGATTGTCCATCCGTATTGTTCTACGAAAGGTAGTGATGCTTCTAGGATTTTCAATCGTACTGCTTTTAATTTTTCTTCTTTAGCTTTATCTTTCTCATCATGCTCTTTTGATTTCTCCTTTTCCGCTTCTTGTCTTTGGTATTCTTTTTCCTTAGCTTCCTCGCGGGCTCGAAAATTATCTACGGTGGGATTACTTGAACTTGTACTGAAATTATATTTTTTATTAATGTCAAGAGTTGCATTTTTGACTACTGGACTGTCTAAAACGAATCCTCTATAATAATTACGTCCTACGGCTACATACAAGTTTGTGTTCCAATATAATTGATTAAGAAAAATAGTGGAGGTTGCCGTAGAAGAAAAATTGCGTTGAACGTCTAAAAAAGAAAATATCAAAATATTTTGTGAGCGATTTGTTTTGTTGGTAAATTTTTTTTAATAGAATAAAAAGACACATTTCAAGCAAACAAAATCTTTTATTACAATTTCCTTTTATTATCTAAACACTCATTAACCCTAGCAATTAAACTTTCAAGTAAATCAAAAGTTACTATAGACCGAGTCAAAATATCTAATTTCTGAGCTTTATTAAAATTCGGTAAATTTTCATCATTGATCATAAATTTTTCAAAAAGTTCGTTTTCCCCTTCCATTTGAATATCATTTTGCACGCGATATTCTTCGGCTTTATAATGGGCTCTTGAAAAATTCAAACCATCCCGTAGGGGATTCAGAAATTCTGTTTCAATATCACTAACAAAATTCCAAAAACCGGTTAAGTTATTGGTATCCCTTTGTGCGAAATAACGAAGAGCGTTTAATGTTGATATAATGTGATCAGAATGTTCTATTAAATCAGTCTCCGATCCCTTCTTAAGTTTACAACACAATTTCAATAAAATATTTTTAAACTCCGTTCCAGTACAAAAACAAATTAAATTTGCTTTTTGATCAAGCTGTTCGGCGACTAAATTTTTAAATATCGTTATGAAATATCCCAATAGTCCGCTATGTTCCGTTGTTTCTAATAATTTTTTTAAAATTACAGATTGCCCTTCTATATCAAACTGCATTATTAATTGTTTGAATAAATTGACACCAATTTTTCGTAATATTTCATGTTCTGAAAAAATAACAATTTTGGTCAATTGCTCACTGAAATCAGCATAAATTTTCAAGTCCAACGAAGATGAATTAATTTTTACACCATCAAGATTGTTAAGTGTTTTATGGCATAATATTAATCCTTTGTAATGTAAAAGAGCTTCATTTTGTTTTAAAAGAATTTCAACTAAATACAGACATGATTCAAATATGTAAATTGGATTATATATTCTAGGTGCGTTGGACGGCATAAATTCTTCTCCTATTAGCAAGTAATAATAAACGGCAAAAGAAAGTAATGGAAATCTTTCGATATTCATATAAACCAATTTGGAAAATCGTTCGTAAGTGTCTTTTTTTAACGTGTCCTTTCTCCATCGGCATCTTGCTTCAACGAAATTCAAAAGATAATACGGATTCTTGTAAATTTTACACAAATCTTGAGTTAATTGCTGAGCACATTGTAACGAATGAGTATTAGTTTTATGTTTCTCTTTGACCGTCAAATCTAAAAGTGCTAAAAGAAATTGAACATTAATAAAAATGAATAACAACAGATTTCAAAATATATATATTGCTATAATTTTCGTTTATAGAATTTGCAAATTAAATTAACGTAATAAAAACTTACCTAAAGGACGACCTAAAAGTTGCAGTAAAAATGAGGAAATGACAGTTGATGTGTTCCAATCAGTACTTTTAAAATTTTTCGTAACAGAACTTTGAATTTCTTTTTGTAGAATAGGTTCATAAAATAATGTTATAGTAATGTAGTTAATAAGAATTTTATGAATTTGCTCATTTTGTTCGAAAAGAGCCATTTGCTTTTCATCATAACATGTATTTAAAAATTCAGGATATTCTAGTTGCGATACATAAGCAATTACTTCATTTAAGCCCCATTCCAAACTTTTTCGATCACTCTCCTTTCTTAATAAACATATTTGTAAGGCTTTCAAGGCACTTGTAAAAATATCATCTGACTTCGATGTATCAATTATATCCAGTAATTCAAAAAGAGCTTCAGTAAGTGGACTTGACTTTGCTATAATTTTCAATAAATTTTCGCAAGCAAAATAGAGCGCCGGTTGTTTGCGAAAATTTTCATCAGTCAAATGTTTTCTGCACAATTCCACAAAATCGGCTGTGTTCTCAATTAGTATATTTATATTACGTTTATCATTAAATAATATTTCGATTCCATCATAATGTTTTTCCGCTATTAATTGATTTATCAATTGTAATAAATTACTTTCTGGATCAAAAGTATCATCATTCATTTTTGAAAATTTTTATTCTCGCACTAGTCACCTTAAAATGATTTAATACAAAAAGAGCACAAGGTAAATAACTACACAAACACATTCGCATCTCACTCCCTATAATTGACAACCGTTTGACATATTTTGGTTCTAAGAATTATTTTTTTTTTTAGTTTTAAAGAACGTTACACAATATATTTAAAATGAATTTTAAAAACTGATCAATAAATTTAATGCTATTATTAATTCCATAACCACATTTAAGATTAATTACACTTACATCTTATAGAAAACAAATTATTTAATTTCATAACTTTCTTTAAATGTGCCATTTCGCTCGTTTTAATTCATACCTTGTAAGTCAGTTTTTTATGGGCTCGTTTTTTCATCTAGAACATTGCAACAAATTCAAAAGTCAATTTTGAAGTTTTTAAAATACATATATATGTATTTCAGTAATTACCCGCCCAATGACAGATATAGAAGCCTGAGATATCAAAATGGGATCTATCATGTATTATCAGAACATGACAATTTTATATGTGCCCTTAAGTAATTACTGTTTTAAAATCTAATTTTCAATTCCTTTTCATTGAAATAATTTGATTGCCTCATATTTTTTCTCATCGCACCATAATAGCTTTCTAAAATATTTCGGGAAAAACTTATGGTTTTGAGTTGGGATATGGTTACATACATCGAGCCGAGTTTGTATATTTAATATGCTATTCAAGAATTTTCAAATCTTATTTTCTTTTAAGGAATATCAGGTTTCTGCAAATTTTTTATTAAAGAAATTTGAAATGAAAAATATAGAAAAAATAGAGAGGTGCCTCCCCTCTCAGTATTCGGAATTCGGACTTTCGGAGAATATTTTTAACAAATGAAAATTTTTAATTTTACTAATGCATATGCAAAACTGGGATTACTTAAAAGTGCTCGTCGAATTTATCAATTAAAAAAAATTTAACTTTCGACTGAGGGCTGAAGCCAAAACAAAAACGTGTTTATTAATTTTACATAGTATATATCGATTGTGATAATTCCTCTTAAAGTTATTTCGAGATTTTTTTTATTTTACAAATTGTAACTATTGTATTAAGTAAAAATATTACTAAAAAAACTAAATTTTTTCTATTGTTATGTAGGTGTTTACTAAGGTATGGTTATGTTATATTTATTTACGAATTAATTTTAATGTCAGATATCAAATGTCGGTCCTTCTGTACATACGTAAGTGGAAATCGAAAATTTTAATGAATGTAGCTGTAATTAGACTCTAAAGGAAAAACTATTTTGTTTGGACTTTCGGATAGTTGGATTTTTGGAAACCCACCTTTATTTCAAATTTTTAATTATATTATTAATATAATAGAATGTCAAAATTAGATGAGTTCTAAAATCATAAAACTTTTTACGAAATGTGGGAAGATAGGGAAACCTATTAGAGAGAAAACGAAACAAAGACTGTCAGTCTATTAATATATTTATGGTTTTTTTTATACCACATTATGATGGTTCCATATAAAACTATTATTTTATCAATGTTTTTTTTTATTGAAGGTTTATAATAGTCAACGTACTTTCAATTTATAAACACAATATTACAGCAAAAAAATAATTTGACAGCATTTTGACATTTTTTGTATGAAAATAGGGTTATGAAAGTTGCATATATGAAAAGCAAACCTGAAGTACTATTTAAGTTGCTGTACTGTTATATAATATATAACAGTTGTAATGTATTGATGAAGAATTAGAACTTGAAGACGTCACAAGTCTAAAATATGTCTTGTTAAAACAAGTAATTATTTGCTTTTCTTAAAAGCTCTTACATATTAAACAATCGATTATTCAATATTGAATACACATTATACATCTTTGCAGATGTGCACAAATGTCAAAGTAGTTTCATTTTGGTTTTGTTTTTTGTTTTTATATGACGTTAATAAAGCCTTCTCTTTTTAACACGCAGATCCTAAACAGTCTCGGTTTAGCTTTTTTATTGGAAAGAATAAATATAAGAAAATTAAAATGTACGCGGGTGGTAGTGTTTTAATAAGAATATAAGTTGTTTAGTTTCCTTTTTATTTTATTAACTAAGAAAAAAAGAAATTTTCATAAAAAATCTATAAAATAAAAAGTTTAAATGAATAAATGTTTTAAATGAAATAAAATATTTCAAATTTCTATATTTTCAGAATAAATATTTTTGAAAATTTTAAAAAGAAAATGCAGGAAAAATGCATCCTGTAAAATTTTTGTGTTCTAAGTTGTGTTCTTGTGGCAAAATATAAGAAAAAAAAATTAAAAAAAAAAAAAATAATCAATAAAATGCCATTTAAATTAAAATTTTAATTTTGATTTTTTGAAAAAATTATATTTAAAAAAAAGAAAAATAAAAAAAAAAGATTTCGATCACAAATTAAATGATAATAGTAAAATTATACATATTGTATATATATGTGTACATATATAAATAAATATATATATAACAAGAAATATAATTTTTCTGTCTGAAAAGGATAACAAAAAAAATCTGTAAATCTGGCGAAAATATTTGCATCCAAAATGTCGACCCGCTCTCAGTTAACTAAGGACTTAAATGGTATGTACCTTCCTACTTACATATTTACATATGTATATGTATTTCGTATTAAATTTTTCTTAAACTTTTTAATATAACTGTTTCAGAATTGTATTACACCTAAATATTTAAAATGAATTTTAATATTTTAAAATATTTTTTTTTTATGTAATAAAAATATTTAAACAATGTTGTATATACATACATATGTAGGCATCTACCAACAATACTTTTTTTTTCAATTTTACATATAAGGGATAAGTATTAAAAAAATGTATGTGTTTATAGGTTCTATTCTATTCTACTAATACTTATTTTTCTCTCCTATTCAAGGTCTTAAATACTAAAAGACCTTGAAGTACACAGAGATAAATTGTTTACATTGACGGAACCGAAAGTAAAGGAAAAAAAAAATAAAATACAAGGATATTAAGAATATTGTGTTCACATATAACAAAATAAATTAAATTATATTATTAGTAGGTATAACAAAATCCTAGATAACCTTTTAATAAAATTTAATATTGTCCATACTATAAAAATATATTAATATCAAATCTACATACCTACCCAGATATTTATTTATTTTTTTCTTTTTTTTTTTTATTATTTCCTTTTTTTCAAGCCCTGCCCTGCCTTATTTAATTTTTTTTTATACTTAATCATTTATATAGCTATTTTATTTTTAATATTTAAGTTTAAATATTTAAAAAAAAGTTGTGTGTTATCATGGATGTAAGTGAAGTAAGTATTAAAATAAGAAAAATGAAATAATTAAAACGAAATAAGCTAGCAGATAGGTAGGTGCTAGAAGTAAGAACCTACCTATCTTCTAAAAATAATTAAGTATTCACAATTTTTTTTTATCCACCTACAGTAATCTATTAACTAGAATTTATTTTTTAAGCGTTCATTTTGAATTTCGAATAATTAAATAAAAAGTATAATTTAAAGAATGTTTTTGATAGTGCGAATGTACATGTACTCATATACGTTATATATATATATACATAATATCCTTAGCATTCTAATAAGAATTATTATGCCCTTTATTGTACCAAAGAAAATCAAAGTGACTATCAACCTATCTATCTAGATGTGTACATAACCATAAGTAGTTATTTAAAAAAAAAAAAAAAAAAACAAAATTGTTTTAAGAATGTTGAACTTCTGTACATGTTTTTCTTTCCTTACTTAAGTATTTTTTTTCTAAATTTTTAAGATGAATCAGTTGGTTCTGAGGCGCATGTTCGTATTTTTTTTTTTTTGTTTCTTCTTTTATGTACTCTCAAATTTTTCAGGCAATCTAAAAAAATAATAATGTATTCAATAACGAAAACGGTTTTTCAAGGATTTTTTTTTTAAAGAAATTTTTAAATTTTGTATTCCTTTTATTTGACTCCTTTGTTTTCATTTAATCATGTATGTATTTTAAAATTTATGTTTGTTTAATTATACATTTTTAATAATAAGCAAATTCAATAGCATTCAATTAATACTTATTTTTTTTTAGTAAACATCATCTTTATCAATTTTATGGATAAGTTTATTAAAATTCAATAATATTTACACATACATATATATATACATTTAATCAGGAGCTTTTATAATTAATATAATTCACTTAGCATGTACATTTATTTAAAAAAGATTTTGAAACCGAAAGAGGAAAAAGCCGGGTAAAATATATACATATTATTTACTTAACAAAGAAATACCTATGCGCGGAAAAATCTAAAATTATAAGTATGTGATAGGCTTTAGATACATATGTTGGTACTTACGTATGTTAGAAAAAAATAACCAGCTTATAACTACATAATATGTAGGCACCTATGTACGTATATATTTAAAAAATTAATTTTTGGATTTATTTTGAATTATATAAGCAGCAAATATAATAAAAAATATTTATATACTGCTTGTGTAACTAAAATGTAAAGAAATTAATTTTTATATTAAATGTTATACCTACATAATGTATATAGAAGATACTTACTTATAGAAAATTATTTAAAATATAATATAAAAAAAGAAAATTGTTTTATGTATAACATAATTTTTTTGTACTGAATAAACCAATATAATTCATTAATAAATTTTAATTATAATAATTTTATTAAATATATTGTTTTGCATTCATAATTCTAAATGAAAATTAATATTAAAAGCCCGGGATATTTTTTAAAATTTCAAACTCTTACCATATTGTCTTTAGAGTAATTGATTTTATTTGTAGAAAATATGATTTTATATGACATTTTGAAAAACTAGTAAGTGTGTTTGTTTGTAACTAATTAAAATAAATAATCGCTGAAAAGACCTTCAATTTATCATCAAAAATCTTAAAAGCTTTAAGAATTTTAAATTTTTATAATATTAAGTTTGAAATAAAACTAATGATCTATGTATATTAAGCAAGTATGTAACTACATGAAATAAAATACTAGTAAAGCAGTATTTACCAATAAATACATATTTACTTACATACTTACCTATATAAATTTAAGCGAATACAAAATGAATGAAAATATTATAAAGAGATAATCTGCTTACTGTTTTATTTGAATGTCAAAAACAAAAAGGAAAAAAATAAAACATTCAAAAATATAAGGAACGATTGAAAAGTATTGAATTGGAAGTATGTCAGGTATTTTTCAGTTAGGTACATACCTAGTTTATATTCTTTATTTTTTTTTTGTTACTTAGTATAATATGTAAGTATATGTATAAATATTTATAGAATATATATATATATATATATATACATATATATATATATATACATATATATATATATATATTATCTGCATACACTGGTGTAATGTAATACTTTCATTTATTTATCTATAAATATTTAAATGAATTATATATATATATATATATATATATATATATATATATATATTCGTATAAGAAATATGTAAGAAAGTAAATAAGAACTTATTATTAACATATATACTTACTTACCTGTTTTTCATTCGAAATTGGTAATAATATACCTATATATTACAGGGACCTACTTTATATAATTTTGTCTTTTTTTTTATAAAGTAAGTAATATTTCTTCACGTTTTATTTTACGCAAAGGAATTCCTTATAGATTTTTGCATACATATAAGCACAATATATTTTATGTTTTCTTCAATTTAACATTTTCTTTCACAAAATTTTCTTTTACTTAATATTTAAGTATGTGTTTATAAGTAATATAGAAAAAAAATTGGCAAAGTGTGTGTAAAAAAATTATTATCAACTGACATTGCGAATACCTTAATTCTAAATTAATTTTTAATATTAAAAAATAAATATAAATTGATAATTTTTATGAATAAAAATGTTATTAAGAAACATTAGTACCCTTGCGCAGGTAATTATGTTTTAATAACGTGGTTATGACACTGGCAATGTGTTACTGTTAATTTCCAAATAACAAAAATAATTAATTCCGATCAAATACGTTAGTTTTTAAAACAGCACTTTTCCAAGTGACTTTGAAATAAAAATTAAAATTTAAAGAATAAAATTATTGAAGAATTTTATGGTAAATTGGGTTATCCAAATATTTAATAAAATTTTTTTAATAAGAAAATATTTCTCGTTATTTACTGACTTTTATCTAAAGCTTATAATTTAAAAGAAATTGTTTGTAAATAATTGAAATTTTTTTATTTAAATTTTCAATGTTTGTAAATTTGTCAGCAATTAAATATTCGATGACTTGAACATTTGGACTACAAAAAAAATTGTAAAAAAATTTTGTTTTACAGAGAAATTACATTCATTTTGTGTATAAAATGCCAGTTTGCATAATTGAAGAACATAGTTGACTCACTAATTTATTGTACTTATATTTTTTTCAAATTTTATTTAAATTTATATTTAAAACGAATAAGTAATTAGAAGTTTACATTTACATAAGTAATTAATTGTAAATAAACTAGATATTTTTAATTAAATTTAAAAGCCCTCACTATTAAAATTATTTAAATAATGACAAATCAACTGCATAAAAATATTAAATTATATTTAAAGATGATTATACTATAGTTTCAATTTATTTTATTCATAATATATAGTTAAGTATAGCACACAATTTTTTAAATAGATCTACTCCAATACATATTTTAGAAAAAAAACTACTAAAAGGGAAATCATTTTCAATTACATTTTATTTAATAGAAATTAATTAATTTTGATTTACCCTAAAACTTTCAATTTTTTCCTTTTATAATTTCATTGTATTTAATCAAAAGTATGTCAACGTTCAAAAAGCACATAATCAATAATAATAATATGCAATTCATTATACGGACTGTCAAATTCAATTTAATATAAGAAAAATAATGCGATAAATATTTTATGAGAATGTCACATTGTTTAGTATACAATATAAAAGAGATGCATTTGTATACTTACCTCAAAAAAAATAGAATGCATTTTGAATGCAAAAATAAAATATTTTTCTCTATTTATTTATCCTTTTGCAAGGATTTTACCATGGAATATTTTATGTTTATATTATACCACATACACATAAAAAATTGATATATGTATTTATATATACAGTCCAAGGGTATATCAATTGTGTAAATTCCTATATGAAGGTTTTAATGTGGACTTGAAAAAAAAAGACAACAAAAACAAAATGTGTAATTGGTTTTTATTTTTTTTTCTCCTATTTTTATTGACGTCATTAATAAAAAATAACAATATAATGAGAGAAGTCTGCAATCTAAAGGACCTTCAAATTTAAAATATGTAGTTGTAAAATTTACAACAATAAAATGAGAAAAACGCAATATCATGGTTGCAATCCTTTTGTTTTATTTTTATTAATTATTAATTTTCTCTTGTTTTTGTAAAAATATAATACATAATTTAAATATAATAATTGAATAATTTATTTTAGGTAGTCAGATTCTAATTAAATACTTTGTTGTACTTACTTATTGAGGGTAAATAATAAAAATTATGTAATAATTGATAAATTTTACACATATAGCCAGAAGTTCATAGAC